CCCTCCTAACTTGAAATATTGACTCCGTCCCTATTTATATTCCATTCCATTCTTGCATTATGATAGTATAATGATCTAATGAAATTGTTGATGTTCCCACACAAGGCTAGTTGTAGACTTGTAGTTTAGTTACTTTGGTGGCTAGGCCCAGTAAAACTTTACCTGTAATGATGGACCTCAAGTCCTTATTAGCATATATGGGCCTCTAGCCATTCGTTTTTTCTAGGCATTAGATATGACTCAAGTATATTTGTAAGCTCTTTTCTCTTCCTATATATTCACTCTTATTTATTGAGAAACAAATATTGTAAAACAATCTATACATACTGGTCTTCCCTATTAAAATTTTCTTGATTTACATAACGTACATAAAATTGTTCTAATATATTAGCTTGATAATAATCGCAATGAAAGTATTTACCTTAAACTAATAATTAAAATGAAAGTATGAATAAATTTTAATTAAAATATAAATTAATGTTAAAGTTTTTTCATTTTGAAATTTTTTTATCTACTATCTTCACGGCTGCCGTCTCTTAAGTTTTCTCTCAGATTTATTAATTTACTTTTTTATTATTAATTTTTTCGGTCCACCACATGTTTTTTTTGCATGTGACAGATAGTTTTCAACTTAAAACCACTTGATTTTCGTATTATGTTAATCAGCATATATACTAAAAATGTTTAAACTATTAAAAATTGTATAATTACTTCAATATTTATATCACATCCACACGATCAGATTCAAAGTGACAATGTGACACTTATAAGTATTATGCATTTTAATTCCTATTAGCCCAAATGACGATAATGTCATGCAATGAAAACATTATGATGGTACAGGGAATTTATTGTACTCATTGGGGTATTTGTAAAAAATTTAACAGAGATTTTTTACAAATAACTTTATTGAATTACATTATAATTTATAAATGATTCATTATCTTTGCATGCACAATTCAGAAATACCTACGGCTGTGATGATGACAGGCCGCATAAAATGTGCTCTCATGTTATTCGAAATTATTATACTGTCTTGGATTTATTGGATCTGATTAATTAGGACATAAAGTCAACACATTTATTTAAATGTTGCTTTGTAATTGGCTGAGACCAATAAATCCGGAACTATGCAATAATTTTTCGTAAATGGATGGCATACCATTATTTATATAAATTACTTAATTTTCATTTCACTAGGTGGAGATCAAATTCATGGGCACCATCATTTGAGGGAAAGAAAAAATAAATAAATAAAATAAAATAAAATAAAATTTATTTATCGCAAATTATTTTGCAATATTTGTTGAAAAATGAGTCACCAACTCACTCAACATTCTCATTACAATTCTCTCTCTCTTTTTTTTTTTTTGTTCTCAGTATGTTAAAATAAAAAAATAAAAAAAAAATTATAATTGAGGTGGCCAACCAAAAATATACACTTGTCTCAAAATTTTGTGAAATTATAAAAATATTAAAAATGAATCAAACCCATAAAAAAGCGGGTTAATCGGTTAAATATGAAAACACTTCATCTTCTGTTTTTCCTTAAAACACTTTCCCAAAAATAAAAACAGTAGCAATGTAAGTTAAAACCAGTTTCAGTTGAAGAAGAAGAAAATGAAGAGATCTAATCTGAGAAGTGTGTGTTTGAAGACGGTGACAGTATCGAGTCTATCTGTTTGTGCCAGGTGTTGAATTTTTATTAGGCCACCTCACCATCAAAAGGTAGTTCATTCTAATATGGACTTAGGCAAGTATTTTTCAAAAAAATATTTTAAGAATTGAAATTAAGTTAAATTTAGAACTAAAATAATAAAAATATATATAAGATTTTGAATTCTTTTAAAATTATAATAGAATTGAGTATCATTGAAATATTATCATAAAATTATATTACACGTAGTCTTGTTAATATTTGTCACATGATAAGATTGGTTTTATTTCATGTTAAGTGTATATAATAATTATATACTTTACTTTTTTTTTTTTCTAAATTTTTTTTCTATATATTAACAAGTTATTAAAATTTTGATCCAACGGTAAATATGAAAACTCCATTAAACAAGTATGAAATTTTGAAATTTGGAGTTGAAGTGGACTAAAGTGTTAGAACCTTGAGCGCGGAGTGCCTCCACTCAAATCCTACTACTAGTAATATTGGTGGGTAAAATTGTCTTTTTATTTTTATAATTTAACCTATATTCAAGTCTCATTCTCCTAATTAGTGAGTATTAAAAAAACATTTGCAATCACTTACAAATTAAAAAGTACAAATGCCTTCACCTCTGCCACCACAACACCGGCACTGCCACCACCTCCACCATATGAGTATTTGGTACAATTTGTCCTTGTTTAATGAATTCTTCATATAGTTTGATTTCATGTTTCTGTTTCTGTTTCTCTTTTCTTTTTCCTTTTATTTTCCTTTCCACAAATTGCCATTTAATTTAAGTTTATTCAAAACCTAACAATTGATTTGAAGGAATTAGTCGATTGTTTTCTATCAATCGATTTAAGTTTATAGTTTGATTGTTTTCTTTTCTTTTTATTTTTTTTAAGAAATTATTTATGTTTTATAGTCATTTCACAATTAATGTCTAATTAAAAAATAACAATTTCTTGTATATTTCTCCTTCAGAATTTTTCTTTCACACTAAATACAAAGAATTTTTTCATATTATAATTATATACTAATGAAATTTTAGTGTTGTCCCCCTCAAATTATAAAAACATTTCACTTTTGCCCCCTTTACACAATTTACTGATCCTCTCTAATCATTACATACCTCCATAAATTGACCCATTTATATCAATATTTGTTCAAATTCATTAAACCGTAAGTACGAGCACAACCTATACTACGAAACATTATATATATATATATATACACACACACAACAAAAAAAGAGGAGAGAATAGAAGCGTATCAAACAAAAAAAGAGGAGAGAATAGAAGCGTATCAAGCAGTTGATCTTGATCCAATCCTCAATGCATTGAGAAAGTGCAGGGCGGCTAGTCGATAGAGAGTGTGTGTTGTACTGATGGTTGTAGTAGAGTTAAAGAGCTCTGTTGTATTCCATTGCATATGCTGTATGTTTCACCAATTATTTTTTTATTTTTTGAATAATAAATAATATATTTCACATCAAATAGCTAAAACTTGTCATACGGATCCAACTCTTGTAAGTTTATTTTCCTGAACTTTTGAATGAGAGCATGCCGTCAAATTCATGACGCGAAACTTAGGAGGCAAAAAGGGGGAGAGAGACTGCTTTTGCAGAAAGTAGAGAGATTCCCTCCTAGAGAGAGAGAAGAATTTAAAAAATGGAGAGATTATTACCATACATGCAGCTACATAAGTAAAAAAAAACCAGTAAAATAAAATTGACACAATTGCATACATGGCTTTTTCACTAAGCAAGAGTGTTGAAGCTGAATAAATTAAAAAGACATAAATTAATCCCCTTTTATGATACTACATATGTCCCATATTTAATATAATTTAAATAAGAAAAAGAATGTAAAATTTTGACCCACTTGTGTGATTTATTGTTAATGAATTTTTGAACTAAATTTTAACTATATTATACTCGTTTGATCATCTTTCTAGTAGTTGAGTTTGTACCTCAATATTTATATGTGATCATGTCAAAAAAGAGCGATCACTCGTGAGGTAGACCTCATATTAGCATTACTATATATATATATATATATATATCATCAAAAGTCGAAGCAAGCCAAATACATTTATATTATCAAAAGTTCAAGTAAGCCAAATATACATATTTGGTTCATTGAAGTTCTAACACTTGAACCATTCCAAAAGAGAAAATGAGCTTATACCAGGTATTGTTTGACAACACTGTAAAATTAAGTATCGAAAATTTTAAGTTTAATTTTACACTCAAGCCACCCCCAAATTCGCGGGTGAATAAATGCTTAATTCTAAAGAATTAAGTATTGAATGAGCAATCAAACAGCACCTTAGTGGGCATTTTACTTTGGTATTACATGTTGGTAGGAGTATTGTATTAGATAAATACACGGATTTAAAAATATTTTATCTAAATATTAGTAAAATGCTTTTTACTCCTGCCAACACGCAATATGAAAGTGAAATGGAAAACAACACTATTGCAGAAATGATAGCCTAGAGTTTATGGAAAGCAACGCTATTGCAGAAATATAGTTGAGTGCTTTCACCATGTGTTGATTGGGTCATTCACACTATTTTTATATTATTTGTTTTTGCTTTTCTAAATGGACCCTACACCTTTCTTCACCCTCCCTCGTCCTTATATAAACCGTCGTACTTATAATTTATACATATAATTCACACACTTTCCAATCCCTCCTACTCTGGGTTGCTTTTACTGTGGGTTGATTGGCACTACTTTTACATTATTTGTTATTGTTTTGCTAAATGGACCCTACTAGACCTTCCTTCACTCTAAAGGACTCTCATACGATAGGAGATCAACGGATTGGCAAATATTAGCATCGGTGCAAAGGAATTCAAAGGTACAAAATTTTCATTTACTTTGCATGTGATTTGGATATAGTTGGAGGGAAAGAAAATTTTCATATGGTTCATATAATTTGATGTTTAAAAAGAGGTAAGAAAATTTTCATATAGTTTGATGTTTATGAGCTTTTAAAAGAAAAAAATGAGATTCCCTATATATTAATTTATACGATGTAAAATTCTAGAATAATTATAAGAAATAATTTGTGTTCGTCTTCTGGATATAAAAAATTTCAAAATAAAAAGATCTCAAATGTGAATAAGATTTTATTATAAAGGAAGTTAGGAATTCGTAATAGTTAATGAAGAAATTTTATTATAAAGTGAGAATATTTGCTGATGGAATCAGCATTCTTCTCCTTTTCCTTCCACTTTCCATTTTCGTTCCTATATATGGAATTCATATCTGGGATGACTACTCATTTTTCCATTTATTGATAAACTGAGATTATTATAAATTAAATACTAATCATTAAGAAAAACTGAGATTATAATAAACTAAATACTAACCATAGGACGAATAAGAGCTTTTTGAGGCCCATAAGATTGGACAATAGCTCTCCTTACACAAATATTAATAAATCACACATTTGTTTTTTAATCTCACATGCTAATAAGAATACAAGAACGATAAAAACAGATTTTATTACACCCAATCATCAAGATGAGAAGACAAGTAAAGAGCAGATCCATGGAGAACCATTTTTCTAGCAAAGGGTACAAGTAGATTTCAGAAATAGTTGCATACTTACTTGTGTGGACTTGGGATGGTACTCATTCATTCAATCCCACCTGAATAACCTCTATAAGTATGCAGTGCATCCATATCTACTCAAAGAAAAGGAAGTGCTGGCTCTGGTGGACAATGATCCATACGGCCGTCGTTTGCCGTGTCGGTAAACCCTTCCACTACCTTGTTCATTTTGTTGACATTGTTTTTCATTGCAGCAATCTTCACAAAAAAATCAACCAACAGTCATGATGCTTTACTTTCTTTTTTTGGTACATATTTTATCGATATACTAACCTCCTTCTCGAGAAGCTCATTCTGTTCTCTCAGCATTTTTTCCTGTTCAAACAAGAAATTAAAACAATAATCAATTGTTAATGCATTCCGATCTTCCTATAGTTACAACTAGACATAAGTGTACGCGCATCTTAAACTATACATGTTTAAAAATCCTACAAGTCCTTAGCTTCAATTTCTCATACTAGTGCCATGCTTCTGCCTCTTTCATTTTTGTTGAACTGCTCGTTATCTGTATATATATATATGTATATATTTATTCATTATGCATTTAGGGTTACATATGCATTACATGCGATTGTCCTACCTGGTTGATTATTGAACAGATTTTTGTTCTTCTAGGACATCCTCTATAGGTTCTTTATCCATTCCATTTCCTATGGCAAAATCATAGACCAATTCTTTACAATAGGGTCAAATTAGAAACTACAAGATCTTGTAGGAGATTAACCAATAAACTTGAAGAACATACTCATCTAGAAAAGGGTCAGGATTTTCATTGAACAATAAAATATTGTGTGGTACAAATGTGGAACTCTTTACTAGTTGAATATGGGTGTGCTCAAATTGAAGAATAACGGCAAAAAACAGATATGTTGTTCTCAATATTTCTAAACCTACACTAGTTATATTTCTAAACCTACCTTAGTTTTAAAGGAACTTAGATGGACAACATATTATTCTTGGATTGACTAGTATGTGGATTTGTGGTTGCTTTTAAATTCACAGATTGATTTTACCGTTTAGGAGATTTAGAAATGAGAAGCCAAAATGCTATCCAATTGAGTTTAACGGCAAAATGGTAAAGCAAAAATAAGTTAAGGGCGAAATGGAATAGGGAGACAACAACTAGTTAATTTGAAAAAATGTTGCTAAAAGAAACCTCTGATGTTATCCATGCTGACAGTAACTTATTGCGGTAAAAACAAACAAGCAAAGTTTCTTATTTTTGCAAACTAATCAGTTCCAAGTGTTCTTTTGGACACTCGGATACGTTTACAGAAATAATGTGTAATCAATTGCAAAGTTCACGCAGAGAATTGCTGAAGGAACTGCAAACAGGATACCGTTAGAAGAATGCTAAAATGCCATGCTCCTATTTCACCCCTCGGAAAGAATGGGACTGAAAACACAAAGGGAAATTCAAAAATATGTTGTTCCTCATGTAGATTAACATGATGGCAAGTGTTTAAGAAAGTGTGGGAAAGTGTACGCATACAAGTGTTGCATAAGAATGCCTATCAATATGTGTTCTAAGATCAGGAAAAACACACAGGTGTTGCAAATGAAGAAATGTCAAAATCAGGTATCAGTTCACAAAGTTTGTGCTGATACATTATCCAACAGTGATAAATTAGATTGCAAAGGCTTGAGAACTTGAAAACGTTTTCACTAACAAAGGAACAGAGGCAGTAGCGATTGTATATATAGCACTTAATTATCAAAGTAATTATTACTATAATGTCAATGGGACTTGTGTTGCCATATTTCGTGAAAAAACTAATCTCTAACTTTATTTTTGTTCTTAGATTTTGAAAAGCAGGTAGTGTCAAGTTAGTTACCTCTTGTCGAAGGAAAGAATTGGAAATAAATTTACAAGTTGCAGCCAAGGGAAGAATGGTAATTTTATTGCCAAGGATAAAAAGGTAATTTGACATTATTATATGACCTCACCAAACTAGGGTTTATGCATTCATTCATTAGGGTTTTAATGTTTCATGCTTTGATCTAGGGAAATCCTAATTGATTTGCTTTAAAGAGTTCTTGGAAACTACTTATTTTCAAACTTTTGAAGTATAGCTTGCAGGACACTTTGATTGATCGACTCATCAATTGAAGGCCACTGAATCCATGTTGATCGATCGACATAAAAATTGGATTGATCGAACCATCCGGAAAATCTCAGTTTCTTTTAAATCTAAAACTCTGAACCTTAATCTATCTACTACTATATTTTGTGTATAAATACCTTCTTATCTCAAAAATCTAAAAAATCCTAAGAAATGCATAAAATAAATGTATTAAGCATCATTGTGAGACTGGAGTGCATAAATTTTATTTTTTATTTATCATTCTGCAGTAGAATTGGTGAGTAATATATGAGTATTATCTTTACTGCTATTGAGTTAAATTGAAGTTTAACACAAACTACACTATCAACCAAGATTGACTGTACTATTGGTCTATAGATCAAAGACCTATTGAAGAAGAAGATTGCAAAATCTGTTGATGGAGCGGACCTATGTGCCTTGAGACTCGAGTGTGAGGTTGGTGGATCAGTCCGTGTCAAGACATAACAAGGTGTCCAGGGTATTTCGACCGTTAAACTAGTTTAATATCTCTTTCATATCCATGGTTTATCCCCTTTGGGGTTTTCACAAAAAAATCTTGGTAGGCCACTTGCTTAATTATATAATTATCATGCTTTTTGTTGCTTTATTTATTTTTATATGATGGGTTACAACATATTAATGGAATAATGGACTGGCTTATTTTTAATATATTATCTTAATTTGGTTTAATCTATCGGTAATTTAATTTAAAAAATAAAAAATAGTTAAAGTTAGTTAGCCTATAAGACCTACTCACACCCTCTTGGTCTACATCATAGTTATTAAGAAGCATGTATGAGGGCTTTTCTTGAATCTTTGGATGAAAAGGTATGGCTAGCTGTAAAGAATTGCTGGACAGAACCTACTAGAGGAGTTCCAAAATCTAAGGTGGATTGGTCAAACGACGAATTTACTGAGACAAATTATAACTCTAGAACACCAAATGCACCCTTCGTTGTCACGCCTACTAAGGAAGCTTGGGAAATTCCAGAGAAAGTACATGAAGGAACTATTTATGTTAAATCTCTAAGCTTTAGATATTAATTAAAGCTTAGAGAATCTTAGAATGGAAGAATGTGAAAGTTTGATGAGTTTTATGCCAAATTAAATGATATGGTTAAATGAGAATTATGTACTAAGAGAAAAGATCACCAAAATGAAGTTGTTAAAAAGATACTCAGATCACTTTTATTAGGTTTCATATAGAAGTCACTACGACTGAAGAAAGCAAAGATGTAGATACAATTTAGGTAGTTGACCTAGTCAATCGCCTTCAAACCTATGTGCTGAATTTCCCTCCTCCTAAGAAGAACAAGGACATAGAACTTAAAGCCATAAAAGAAAAAAAAATAGTGATAGCTCAAGGAGTGATGATAAAGAAGATATTGCCTTCTTAACTAGAAATTATAATAAGTTCTTGAAGAAGTCCAAGTAAAACCCTGAGGCTATATTTGGTATAACAAGAGGGAAAAGAAAAGAAAGGATAACATAAGTGAAAAGAAAAGAAAGGAAAGGAAAGTGTTAAACTCTCATGGTGTTTGGCTGATTAATGAGGGAAAAGAAAGGAAATGGATAGTTTTAGCATTTAATCGTATTTAGAGAAAGAAAGAAGTGGAAATTATTTTAATAAATTTACCACCATACCCTTTCACATTGAAAGGACAAATATATATGTAAGAAATGGTAAGAAGATTTTGATAAACATCATTCAAATTGTGTCAAATAAAAATAAGGGCAAAATCAGTATTAGAAAAGTTTGATTATCTGAAAGTGAAGGGAAAAGCTGAGGCTGGGAAAGCTGAGGCTATGAAAGCCATACTTTCTTATTCTTCATAATATGAAAGTGAAGAATCTTCAAGTGACTCAGAAGTTGAAGCTCAATTTGCCTTGGTAGGAATATCAAATACCTCAAATATAAATATTGGTAAAACAACTGAAGAATTAAAAAACTGAAACAGAAGAGTATGCTGAAAGTTTTACTTAAACTGACAGTAGACCTAAAAGAAGATGAAGCCCCAAGCAAACTTTAACTTGCTTTTAATGAATTATTTGAGGAGACTTTGCAAGCTAAGAAAGCAAATAGAGTCTTGGGGAAAAAGTAAAGAATCTTGAAAACACCTTGGAAGAAGTAGAAAAAGAAAATCTAAGAATTTGTATTTGATTGATGATCTAGAAAAAGAAAAGAAAGATTTGTTTAGAAAGACAAAATTCTTAAAACAAGAAGTTGGTGAAGCTATAAACCTAAAATCATAATATTTGAAGAAAATTGAAAGTCTAGAGAGTGAATTGAAGAAAAATAAGTAGCAGCTAAGTTCACTCAAGGATCTCAACACTTAGATAAGATACTTGCATAGGGAGTCTCCAAGAGATGAATCTGGTTTATGTTATCCTCAAGCTACAACTTCTAACGTTGTCTTAGTTATTCTCCCAGAACTAGCTAAGAAAATCAAGTGATAAGCTCTCCCACCTAAGAATGAAGTAAAAAAATAACCAGATTAAAGTTCCCCAAGTTCTTATTCAGAGGAGAAATGACTAAAAAAAATGAATTATCCGTCTCCAAAACTTGATTGTTCATATTGTGATAAACCTGGTCATTCTAGGTTTTCCTGTCATCAATTGCCTAGATCACAAACCTTGCACGAACTCTCTATCAGATTCTAGGATTTTGGTCCTCGCAGTATCAATTACTATTATTAATATGACGATACTTATCCAATATATATATATATGCTGATGATGATCATCATCGACTAGAACACTTGCCATCATGTTGATATCCATGAGAGCATATTATATAATTATCCTCAGTTTTCGGTCCCCTTGTGTTTGGTCTGTCTAAAGAACACATATCCGTATCAAGGAAAATGTGTGGCACTTCCAAGACACTAAAGATGCAATTCTCCTCAATTCAAACATTGGAGGGGGGTGGTGGTGGTGGGGAACATCTGTTAGGTTTTATGTCCTAACTTTATGGTTAAACTTCACTTCTTTTCTAGGTGTACTCATTTTAATCCATGCATGCAGAGGGGGATTTTAACATTGACAACTCAAAAGGTGAGTAGGTCTTTCATCAAAGTGCTATTGATAGCCTTAGCTACAAGAAATTTCGCCTCATTATAACCATAACTTAGTCAGCCTTTGGAATTAAGTCTTCATGTTGTTGAACTTCAATTTGATTAAACTGTTGCTGCCTCTAGTGTTAGTGTTTTG